ATGACGACGAGGACGATGACGACGATGATGACGATGGCGAAATGCCGAGTATGTTCAAGAAATTAATTACCAAAGAAAAAGGTACGAAGACCGGTTGCGCGACTACGCCTAAACAGATTAAATTATTACACGACGACGACGACGACGACGACGACGAAGCTACTCGAGTTCTTGTTTCCGAAATGGACGACAGCGATTGGTGGACGGTGGTCAGTAGATTGAAGACGATTTACAATAAAAAATAGTTTGAAAGAGAAATTGAGGAAAAATGATTTTTCAGGTAGGTACAGTGAGCGGGGTCGGGGTGGCCATGTTCGTCGTCGGTATCCTGGCTGTGTACGTGGTGTACACGAACATAAGGGGTCCCGTACCACCGAAAAACGCTCGTATCGAAAGGGATACCAGCTTGAGAAGGGTGGGTAGCGACCGCGAAACACCCGTTCGTGCCCAGAGGCAACCCCGTACCTTGCAGAGGATGGACAGCAACAGAAGCATCAGAAGTACCATTTCCGAGAAGAGCGTCTGATGCCGATATCGATACGTGCTACGCTTTTATAATGAAACGATATCGAGCGAGTCGCCGCCGCTTACTCGAAATTAGTCGCGAAATAACGTGGCTCGCGCTGAAAGTTTTGCGAATTCGCTTTAGAGGCCAGCGAGCAGGCTCACGGCTACGATTCTCAAGACTTTCGGAGTGCCAATTGTTTTTCAATCTAGCTCACGATCTAGTTATTTTTAGTTGGAATTTCTTATTTATGTTCAGCGACCGCTTGGGTTCGTTTCGGTTCGATCGAGATACGCGAAATTTCGACGAACCGTGGGTAACGGTCGTCAATCTTTTCAGAAAATTTTGATCATTTAGAAACGAAACACGAATCAGTTAATAAATTATCACGCGTCGAGGCATTGAAGTCTTGAGATATCAATGACGGAACATAGTTCTGAATCTAACGAAACGCTTAGAAGGATTTATCGTTATTGATTTCGCGAGAAGTTGATGTATCATTCATGTGTTAAATATATACAGCTTACCGAGCTGAGACTAAGAGTAATTCTTCCTATGGACCCATTGATCGATACAAATATGCGATACTCCGATGCGTTGCACGTGTGTACGGTGACTTATTTATCAAATAAATTCAATAAAGTTTATTCAAAACGAAGGTGTTACGCCTGATGTTATGACACTCGACAAACGCTACCGATTAATCATACGCGAACGATGTATCGTACCTACCTTAACCTTCGTTACCTTGGCTATTCGATCGGAGAGAAAAAGAAGTCCTAATAAAAATGATAAATACGAGGTGTAAAGTAGAAAATGAGGACGATGAGATCGACCTTGCCGTTTCTTTTTCATTTCGCTAGCTTATCGGTCACGAAACGAGACGTCAAAGTGACACTTCCGGCACGTCGGAAGCCTGCACCGTCGGGCTAAAGTTGCCGCGGATGTGATAAATTAAGATTGTAAAATAGGGTTATGCCCGACGAAGAGGAGACCGACAGATACCAACTATTGTTCTCACCACTTGACCCAATCAGACGTTCAATCAAAGTTGCGTAACACGCAAAATACTCGTCCAACGATGATCGCCTGTTGTAATCAAAACAATAGGGGTTGGCGCGCAATTAACTACCTTTCAAGCCAATCAAAATCACCGAATATCTCTCGTAGGCTGATATTGCAACAACAAGAAAATATGAATTTTCTATTCGTTCTTCTTCAACGATTCTTTCCAAACACTTGAAACACTTGGAAATCTTCCATTGGCTAACGGTTTACGCTATCTCTTCCACGTGCAATCATTTGTTCCGCTTATTTGTTGGGAATTGCAAAATGAACAGTCTTACTACATTTCAATCGTATGAAATCGAGTGTATATGCCTTTATTAAACACCTTGGAAAAGATAGTTTGATTCGCCTGGATAACTTGATAGCGACTCGCGTTTCAATTATTTCCTTTCATCGCCGGTCGAGCATTTCGCGCGTCACTCGCTTTCGAAGAAAGTAGGAATCCCGGTGCATACGCGCGTTACTTTCCTGCTTCCGCTCATGGGACGTATTCTCCGTTAACGTCATCTTCCCACGACGTGTATCTAGGATTTCAAAGGTCGTTGCCTGGCTGCTGAACGAATCAACGATCATCAACGATCATGCGTTTCTGAATGAAAACGACGACATTGTTATTCTTCCTAATCGATTGACATATCTGCCGTTATTACATCGCGGCGAAAGGGTTCAGAGTTTGAAGGATTCCAATCGGCGAATAACGCTTAATGCAATCAATTGATCTACTTATTAATTACATGTAACGAGATCGTACTGAACGCCTCTTATATCCATCGTCAAAGAATTTCTAACGTTGATTAACTTTTTACCCCTTCCCGTAGTTGATCTCATTGTTGATCACGCAACAATATTTCCTACGTATCGTTACGATCTATTTGCATCGTATCTTGATCGGCTATTATAACAAAGTTGCATAGTTGAATATATAACTACTCGTTAGCTGACGTAGTTTATTTTTTTACGAATTAATTCATCCACGAGTCATTTCGAAAATTTCTATAAACAGAAATTTAACATTTTGCGATAAGTCTAATCGTTAGTGGAATTCCCAGTTGACGATTCATCCGCGACGCCACGAGGAAAACGTTATCCTCCTTTTACTGGAATTTCCGCCAGCTTCGTTTTCTAAAAATGAAACACGTTCTATTCAAAGATGCGAATCTACTCGTTCATCGCATTTGCATATCGAGTTGCGTAGGCTAATTGTTGCGCGTTACGCGGATAGCCGTTACTTTGCGAATCCTTCGCTCTTGACACCTCTATGACTATTCAGGTCGTTATTTTTAATTATCCTTAACGCGTAATCCTCGCCATGGTCGGTGAAACATTTCGAGTAACTCGTCGAAAGGAGACGTGGAATTGGATCGTTTTTTCATTGTGTTAACTTACCCATTGCCTTCTTACACCATCACTGATGTATTAATTATGAAAATTTATTCGTTTACCGTTAAACCTTTCACCGTGTATAACTTTGTTAAGCGTAACGGTTTAACGGCCGTGAGCCGCGTAATTTTATTGTCTTTTTGTATCCGTTATAAACGGAAAATGTTCGATACAGACGATAAAGCAATTATAGGAATCATAATTATATCGCGGATGTAGAAATATTTCGATTACAAAAGTTCGAACGTAAGTATTTGGAGAGATAAGGAACGGTAAAGGAAGAAAAAAAACAAAACGGAAAATAATAATTAACGTAGATGAAGATCTCGAGTTAACGCGCACACGCCGCTCGCGATGATTATCCAATTATCCACCGTTAAATAAGCCGCAATGCCTTACCGATCTGTTTTATGTATTCCGATAAGATCGGCACGCGTAAATCACACCGCGACCACGCTATTCATCCTGAATCGATCCAATTGAAGCTCGATCGATACACTGTACACACGTACACGCGGCAACCTTGAATTTATAAACAAAGTCCATGAGATAGATACCTGGTTGCGCGAATCAGTCGTTTCCACGGTTTTTCCTTTTTTTTTTTTCGCCGTTTCATCGAACCTCGTATTGCGATCGATCTATTCGATTCGCGATCTTTTTTTGACTGCGAAATAACTTACATTAGAGGAAATAATGTGATCCCACGTGTCCATACTCGAGATCGTGTCCTGACAATTAGAAGGGGGAAAAAATGGAATCAACAAACGCGATACGTCATGAAAGTTTCATGTACAGAGCTGTTTCCCGTCTCGATCTGGAACTTCCAATTGAGTGTTTCATAAGTTAAACAAACGAGAGTACTTTGGATACTTTGAGTCATACGAGATCCCTAGAAAAGCCAACCTTGTGACAAGCAGCCTTGTTAATTTGAAATTCCAAACTTGGTGAAAATGTTGCTACGCTTAGAAGATGAAGCATACTTTGTGAAAATTGTAAGAGAATAAAAAAGATAGGATTAATTTGAAAGTATCGATAAATCACGAGCGAATCCGTGATTACAAGTAGCATCGTTGAGTAATGAACAATGAATCACGTGTAATGATTAAAGAACATTAACAATGTTGTGCGTCGTTTCACCTCGCCTTGAAATTACGCAAGAAACGATATTTAATAAATAAATCTCCTTGGATCCCCTTTGGATCCGCCAGAACCGTGATTTACCGTGGCAAAACGATATCCACGGTGTACGGTGATCATGTCGAGGCTTCGTCACAAAATTCTACAGCCTGTTACAAGCTCGGTGAAACTACAAAGTGAAATAATTTTACGATCCACTGGTTTCCTTGAGGTTCGCGATGAAATTACGCAAGGCCGTGTAATTAAAGCATTAACCAAGCGTGTATCGACCAATCTATCGATTTGTCAATTTCATAATTACCTATATGAAATTTTCGATCAATGATACCAGAAAGATTGTTGAAAAATTGAAGAAAATTTAAATTTCATGCTAATATTCGTAACGATATTCTAAGTTGAGAATCGCTGACCCAAAGTTAACCTTCACCGATCGAGTCATTAAATTTCACTTCTCCCGATCCTTGCGTATCCTGTTCTGCCTCAAATTAAATCAACAACATTTTTCTACTCCGCGATCTTCGTTTAAAAAATAAATCAAAATTCCAGACCTCATCCCTCCCCATAGAAGGGAAAACGACCACCCTTGAACCTTCTCACTAAAAAGGTGACACATCGATAACAATGACTGAAGAAAGAAATTGTTGACAAAAGAAGGAAAAACAACCCTCCCTAAGAAGGAGAAACATCCCCCTATCTACTCATCAGTGAGCATTATTCGAGATATTAGCAATTAAATGTTCCACTGTTAATTAAGCATAAATTGTAGATATGCTAATGGTGATAAAAAAAAAATAAAAAAAAATGAGTGTAGATGGTGGAGGGGGGTAGAAACTGTTCGATAGACAACGTCGCGTCGAAGGGACCAGACGGTGTGGTGCATTCAAGCAACGGCAGCACAAAAGATGCAGAGATGGTGGTGGCAGGATGGGGGACAACGAACAATTCAGGGTCCTCGTAACCGGTTCTATATAAAAGCACATGCTACGTCAACGGGAGGAGACATTCTCAGCGAGTAATCGGGCCGGTGATGACCAAACCGATGTAAGGTCATCGAATTGAAAAATTCGATAAAAAGCACGTCTTATCAAATCTCCGTTGTGTTTGATCACCGTATTAGATCTTACTTTGGATCACGAAAAATTTGATAAAAAGCACGCCTTATCAAATCTCTATTGCGTTTAACTACTGTGTTATATATTACGTTAGTTTGGATCACTCTGGAAATTTCGTTATTTTAGAAAAATTGTTTGAAATTCGAGAGGAATAATTTTTGAAGAACGTGTGATATGACGGAAGACGCGAGTCGTTCGAAATCGTGCTAAAAGTTCGGATCGGATCAGTGACCGAGGGAAAAGTTTGAAACGGAGGAATCGTCGAGTTGCTCGAAGAGAATCGAACGGTTCGATTAGAGTGATTCGTGGACGGGAAAAAGTTTTGAGGAGAAAAAGAGGAAAAAGAGAAGAGAGCGAACGCGAAGGAGAGTGTGCCCGTTGGAAAAGGTGCGCAAGAAGGAGTGAAAGTTGAGCTGGTTGCTGAATTCAGTTTGTTTGGAGGATAGTGCACGGAGTTGTTAAAAGCGGTACCCTGGAACGGTGCCATTTTTCTAGGCCCTATCGGATCTCAGTCTACCAGCCAGAAAGCGAAATCGAAGGTGACAGGCGTGTGCTGAAGAAGGCCAGATACGTGAGAAACCGCTTTTCAGGTGAGTGAACGAAACCTGCTGTGTCTGCGTTGTCGCCGAGTAAAAGTGTCGGTTAAAGACAATCGTTAGACTTCAATTAACACGGCTATTTTGTAATGATTAAGTTGGCGCAGAAACGTACTCAGCAATTGCGTAGATAAAATTTTTAGTTGTTCGAAACAAGCTTAAACGACAGCTCACCGAGCACTTTTCTTCCCCTTTCAATTTAATTTCAGCTCGTCGGTTGATTCGAGCGAGCGTGAAACGGACCCTCTTATCTATCAACGACTAACATTCACTCGATGCTTCTGTAATCGTTTGTTGCTTCATTCGAATCGTTAAACATTTCTATGAAAAGGTGCTTTTCGAATCTTTCGTTACAATTTCCATTGCTGGAACAATGATTATATAAATTGATCGATACATTTAACCAGCGTTTCGTCATCGAGTATTATCGATACACTTTTATTGGCTCACGATCGACGCAATCGTTGAACTTTCCTCTTTCAGTGAAGCGGTTAACCCTTTCTCCATCGTAGTACATTGAACCGATCGATGATCTCAATAAATGACTGACGCCTCGAATTTTGTAAATAAAAGAAGCTAATAAACATCGAGGGTCGATGGTTTTTATCTATTACAAAAACATTTCAACTCCATCGAGCACGTCTCGTCGAGTGCTACGCCGAATGTGCTCGAATGGAAAAGGTTAATGAACGAAATCGAATGGCATCCGGTGACGATTACTAAATTTCATAATGGCCCGTGTAACACTTAACGCAGGGAAAGTTTCAGCAAGGTGACGCATTCCTCTGAAACAATGCATTCACCTGTTTCAAAATTGAGAAGCCAGTCCCTTTATATTTCCTTGTGGAAAAATTTATTAAAACAAATTAAAGATGCCGGATTAATTAACAGAAAAGTATTTTAACGTATTAAGAACTGGCAGGGGGGAAATGGTTAATAAGAAATGGAAAAGAAGAAAAATAAAAGTGAAAGCAAACCTAAAACGCGTTCGACGGGATAAGGAAATAATAAGAAGAGAAAAGAAAAAAAGTGGATACAATCCAAACGCTCTAATTCCATTCGCGCCTGTATCGCAACGAATTCCCTTAGCTGTGATTTCAATTTTTTAGTAACAAACTCCACCGTATATCCGCAACATGTTTTCTACCATAGTAGATCGTAATCAATCTTGCCCGCTAATTGAAGAGACATCTGAAAGTTATTCGCCGTTGGCGCGAATCGTCGACCAGCGTATTGTACATATGGGATTTCAAATCCCATCTTGATTTATAAATCACGATACGTCCGATTTTATAAACTTTCTTACATGTAGCTAATTAAGAGTCGACGAGTTTGAAAATTAACGATCCGTATCCTTAATTACTACTCGTGTCGATTTCTACTGCGGCAATTAACGCGTACTAAATCTTAATCAAAGACGTACTTATAAATCGGCGAATGAAACCTACAGATGGGAACCATTCTGCAGCAGTCGGTGCTAAAAGGCCGACAGACCAACGCCAGCAAGGAGAAGGATTTGCTTCATACATTATTCAAACAGACGGTGGAGAATAATTCTAGTCAACCGGCTATCTACTACGAAGGTACTGTCATTGATGGCACTTTTTTTTATACAAAAGAAGAAGAAAAAAAAAAACAAACGCCAAGAATTCTCGGAGCAAAAAAATCAATTAGCATCGAGTGTGTGCGTTACACATGATTGATACCCTCCGGCGCACGCTTCCCGCCCGCCCCTGTTCTTTCCATTAACGTTTTTCTTTGTTTTCATTACGAACAGACGACGATGGAAAGGTGTACACGATCACGTACGAAGAGTTGAACCTGTTGACCAACCGGTTGGCTCGAGTTTTGCAAAAATGCGAAAAACCAGAGAACTCATCTCAATCTTTCGTCGCTGTTTGCATGAAACCCTCTCATCGTCTTCCCGCCATGTTACTGGCAATAATAAAAGCTGGAATGGCTTATCTACCCCTCGACGTCGATTTCCCGATGTCCAGGATGAAACACGTTCTACAGGAAGCTAAACCTTTCGTGGTGCTCGTCGAGGAAGAAGGTGAAAATTATGCTAATTTCTCTACTGAATGATCTTCTCGTCTTTTTTTCACTTTTTTTTTCCTTTCACCGCCTTTATATTGTTCCAATTTCCATTTCACTCGACGATTTCAGGAAACCAGTTTAAGATTAGAACGTCGATTCCCAGATAGATAACTTAGAAGGAAAGTCTATCTTCCGGAATTCTACGAATCGAATCCTTCGATTCACCATAAAAATACCAAAGTACGATTGAGCCTTCGTCGTTTCTCTTTTTCCATTACATCAAGCGATAATTACGAACCGGTTTTTCTTGTCAATAACTACTGTCAATTACGCGTTTCCAGATGCGAACTTTCCTTGTCTTCACGCTTCGTCAGAATCAACAATGAGTCAGATTTAAGAGAGGATTTCGGATTCTCTGCAAGAATCAGACAGGCAGATCCTTCTTTTCCTTATCCGTTCGTTCATGACTCTTAGAAATCTTCAGAAATTTTGAACAAAATTCCAGCAAACAGAATAAACGGTGAAACGATTTTTCCTTCGACAAAACGGAAGTACCTTGCCACTGTACAGTTCATTGCACGATTTTAAGGTCGACTTTTCATTGACAATCTCGTAAATAAAACGCTGCTGGTGCCGATATCATTAGTCGAGGGACGTATTGAAATTCTGGTATCGATTAGAAGAAAATGAATCAGCAAGACAGGAAGCTAGACGTTTGTCCTCACTATACTTTCGTCTCGATCTTCCAGCGGATCCGTCGATCTTCGAAGGAACAAAGACAGTTACTTACGAACAACTATTGGAACAATCTCGACACGAAGGGCAGGAGGATCTAGAGATCGAGGAAGATCCTGAGCGAACCGCCATCGTTCTTTACACTTCCGGAAGCACCGGCACTCCTAAAGGTAAACGCTTTTCTTTTCTCGGGGAAGTCTAATTTAATCGCGACTTCGAAATTTATTATCGTTCCATTCTATAGGAGTGCTTTTGTCGCACGCGACCGTACTGAATCGTTTACGATGGCAATGGAGAGAACTACCTTACAAATCCGACGAGCAATATTGCATCTTCAAGACGTCTTTGACATTCGTCGACAGTGTGTCCGAAATTTGGGGATCCTTGTTACAGGGCCGTTGCTTGGTGGTTGTTCCGAAGCACGTCACGAGGGACCCGGAAAAATTTGTGCAAGTATTGGAGAAACACAAGGTGATGTATCGTAAATCTCGACAAATAATAAATTTATGAATCTAATAAAAATGATTTATTTCGCGATTTCAGATTCAACGATTGGTCCTGGTACCATCTTTATTGTACTCGATGCTGATGTACCTGAGTCTACGGGTAAGAATTTTCGAATTCTTATTAGTTCTGCCGGATTCAATCTCGCGTCATGAAAATCGATGAAATTTCATGTTGCATTTAGGACAAGGAGAACATACTACGCTCGTTGAGACTTTGGATATGTTCCGGCGAAACGTTACCAGTCGCACTGGCCGATGAATTTTTCACCAGGTTCGCGCACGACGACAACAAGATTCTGGCGAATTTCTACGGGAGCACGGAAATCATGGGGGATGTTACCTACCATCTCATAAACGACCAAAGTCAGCTGCAGTCGATGGAGAAAGTACCGATTGGTAAAAGAAACTTCACGATACTCTACTTTAGCGATAACAGAAGTCTGATAACGGAGCGGAAAAATGATATTTCAGGGAAACCACTGGACAATTGTATCATCTACATCGTGAACAAAGAAATGCGGCTGGTGCCGCAAGGGGAAGTCGGGGAATTAATAGTGGCTGGAAGAAACCTCGCAGCTGGATACATTCGGGACAACGATTCTCACAAGTTCCAGGACAATCCTCACGCTATCGATCCAGGTATATCGATTTATTTATCCTCCAGAAGAATAATTTACCTATTTCTGATCGAAATAGAAAAAAGAACGAAACACGTGAATAGCTTATAAATTATTGAGCATTGTGTAACATCAGGATTTTTCCTTGTTTTTTCATTACGCGTGCACCTCCTTACCTCGCGTATCCTCCTACGCTTCGAAGTATTTTATAAGTATTTCTTTCCTTTGAACAGAGTACTCGAGGGTGTATTGCACCGGTGACTACGCGAGGATATCGAAAGGTATGGTTATATACGAAGGACGAATGGATTCGCAGATCAAGATCCGAGGACACCGCGTAGACCTGACGGAAGTTGAGAAAGCGGTGTCGAAAGTTCCGGGAATCGACAATGTGGTCGTACTCTGTTACAAACCTGGAGAACTGTCTCAAACGTTGCTCGCTTTCGTAACCGTTGCTGCCGGTTCGTGCAGTTGCGGGAAGAAAATCGAAGGAATCCTTCAAGCTACCTTGCCGCCTTACATGCTGCCGCGTGTAATCGTGGTGGACGGTATACCTCTCTTAACAAACGGCAAGACCGATCGTCAAGCCTTGCTGAAGCACTACGAGTCGAGCAACCTTAATAATGGTACGGTATTATCGTCGACGTTTGATCGATTAACGCATCCGATGAAATTAATCGTTTAATCGTTTGAATGGCCAGAGAACGAGGAATTCGTCAACTGCGATTACACCGGTGTACCCGACGAGGATCTGGCGAAAGCGAGAGTCCTGTTTCCAACAGTGGCCTCTGTAATCGGAGGAGGAGGAGGAGGTCGTTCAAACGTAAAGCTCGATGCAAATTTCTACGAGCTAGGCGGCAACTCGTTGAACTCGATTTACACGGTGACAAAGCTGAGGGATCAGGGATACGAGATAGGTATTACGGAATTCATCACGGCGAAGGATCTGGCCGAGGTACTCAGCCGAATGAGAATCAGCGCGGACGACGTTTCTCCAGAGAATAATATCAACGAAGACGAGTATACCTTTGAAATGCTCAACGATTCTCATAAAAAGGATGCGATAGAGTACGTATAATCTTTCTTTGGAAAGAGAACTAATTCGAACGGAGCTGGCTTATAATCCGACCAGAATGAGTATTTCCATCGCGAAGAAATACGAATAGAGACAATAATAAATTCATTTTGCAGAATTATCACGGAGAGTTTCTACAGCAAAGCGGATTTGGAACAGTGGCTGATGCCAGGAATAGCAAAGGACGACTATCGGATAATGATGGAGATCCTTTGGGAACCTCTCGTCGAGAAGAATTTGAGTTTCGCAGTGAAATCGGCTCGAGACGGCAGAACAATTGCAGTGGGTTTGAATTTCGATCTATGGGACGAGCCTGAATTGATACTCGATTCGAAATTGACGATCGTCTTCGAGTTCCTCGAACACCTCGAAGCGCCGATCAGAGAACGAAAACTGCCTAAGGGAAAGGGTCAGATTATCCATAATTTCATGATGACGACCAGCAGTGATTTAAATCCCGCCGAGAACGTGATCATGATGAAAGCGATGGAGGAATACTGCTTGAAATTGGCTAAAAGGAAAGAGTACGCTGGTATTTTCACCACCAACACCAGCCCTCTTACACAGGTAAACCCGTATTTACAGTATAAACGCGATCGTTAATTAATTTGCAATTTAAATGAAAGGCCATTTTGTACTGCAGAATGTCTTTTAACAAGGTCGTTTTGTAAAGGTACTAAACCGCCTGTGCGCGCCCTCTATGCGGAGGAAACATGGAAACTGGATTCAGGGAGAACGCGATCCTAATGTAGCTTTTAAATTCCCTTCCAGTTTCCCGCCATAATCGTGTGGTTAACTAGTCGCTAATGTCATATTTTCTATTTCTATCAATTCCGAGCTGCTGAATTATTTTACATACGTAGCAACAATCAGATTTTATAAATTCTTACTTCTTTTTAAGAAATAATCTACTTTGTTTGCGTTACAGCAACTCGGAACAGATGTGTTTGGATACGATACGATGCTTACTTACCAAGTGAACAAATACTGCGCCCCAGATGGTACGAAGCCCTTTGGAGAAGCACCGGACAATCAACTGGCAATTTGCTCGTTAAAAATGATCGTTTAATGATACCTGAAAACAAAACGGAAACGTTAGTAATCTGCATGGTGAGAGGGCGCTATTTGTCGCTGTCCGTGGCAATAATGAAATTGATGTATATTTAAGTACTATAGGAAGTCGAGTATTAATTTATTATAATCGTATAAATTATTTCGTTTGGTGCTCGTACGAGACGATTACTCTACGACTGTTTCGTATTTGAATACAGTCCTTATTATCGTTAGTTTATCTTTGTGCACCATTTTGTTATGTTAACGCACTGACGCGTGACGAAGGAATGTAATAGCCGCATGAAATGCGAGATATTGTAAATATTTTTGTACATAAAAATAGTACGTATGTGATAAACGACTATGTTATCCGGTCGTTGTAGTTAAGAATGTTTAAATTTGTCGACTCCCCCTACCCAAAATTGTTGACAGAATATTGAAAAAGTTGTTCTGATAACGCCATTGCGCTGTTAGTCAATTGTAATACGAATAGAATAAACATACTGTTAAGCAATTTAATGAGACTACACTATTATACCTGCTAGCATCCTGCATCCGCTACTTCGTTTACATTCGTAAGCGGTAGTAAGAACCTTCAAACGTTTACTTTCTATCTCAAACATAATATATCACATTCTATCACCACGTTCTTCTTCTGGAAGGATACAAATGATACTGATTCAAATTAAACACGTTCCTTTCCAAACACTTCGATAGTTCGGTGTTTCCCCGCCGAGGGACAGCACGCGACTGACTCATCGTCAGATTTGACATAACCTGGAGAAATGTCAAATTTGAATACCTCACTCTAACATATAAGATATAATATGCTTTGATAATCCTAATTAGGATACAATAATGATTTATTGTATACTATTTTTCAATGAAGTGTCGGAACATTTCAACTTGATTCAATAAATTTATAGAATACGTTTTTGAAATGGCACCTCTTACGGATTTACTTTCTTGTAGTATAATTGAAAAAGATTCTAACGGTGATATATTATGGACATGGTCTTATCCGCGAGTCGCGGAATCTCAAAAAGCTGTCGTTGCAAGAAAATGTAATTTAGAACTGGAACATAATTCTTCTCAAGTGTTTGTGTTTTCAAGACACAAACACAGTTGGTTTTACATACATTGCAGTGAGGTGTTTGATTCAGATAAGTTACCAAAAGTAAGTTGCATATTCATTAAAATTGAAATAACTGTGTACTTAATGAATTATAATCTAACAGGTAAAGCAATTTGCATTAGTTTTATTTGCTAAGGATTTTAATCCAAGGAAATATGAAGTACTGTCCAGAGTCCTTAGCAAAATGTACTGTAAGACTGGGAAACCAACAGAAATTCTACAACTATACCTATCTGTATTTACAAAAGGATCATGTTCTACTCAAGAAAATGGAACATTTGTTTCTGATGACTTTAATAGTCATCGTTTTACAATGAATACTAATATCAGAGAAATGATTAAAACCTTTGAATTGGAAACTATTTTAATATATACAGCTCTTCTTTTGAAGAAAAGAATAATAGTTTATCACCATAGTTTGGAACAACTTCTAAAATGGATTGGAATATTTCCTGAATTAATGAAGCACCGTAAAGTTACTGATAATTTGTTCCCTTGGGTTGATCTGATTGATGATGAACTTGCAGAATTAAAGGTACTTTAATCTCTCTGTGCCCTGTGATATCTAGTTATTATAAATTCTAACTTATCATAAAACATTTTACAGGGCCATTCCCATTACATTGCAGGGTGTAGAAATGTATTTATTTCATCAAGAACAGAACTGTTTGATTTACTTGTAAATATTCCAGCCAGAGAAATTACAGTTGCTTCACATGCAAAAGGTAAAGAAAAATATGATCAATATCGCTCAATTTATTCTATTCATAAATAATGCCCTTTTTCTAGAAAGTTTAACAATGACAAAAACCCACAAAGAAATAGCTTTGTTCATGGTTCAATTGAGTGAAAATCAATCATATACAGAAGTTCAAATAATATCTGAAATCAATGACAAGACACAGGATTTATTGAATCAGTTAAAGTCTTTAGCTTTAGTTCAAGGACCTGATGGAAGAAAAATGGTTTCTGCACAAACATTGAAAGAAAAGAATTTACCACCAGCTGTAGAAAACTTTCTAATCAATTTGGCTGTAGCCGAAAACCTATTTTTACTATAATTTATACATACTCATATATTTTTGTAAATATATTCTCTCATTTGAAAATTAATAAATGTATGCATTTAATTGAAGTGACCTAAAATTTTATTATATTTTGTACTGTATATAAAAAAAATATGAAAATTTAAGTATGAACTGAAAATTTGGATTTATCCAATGCAAAAATGGTTACGTTGAAAACAGACCCTTACGACATCTAGTGCCAAGCCCATTTGGCACGCATAATTGAGACAAGCAAAATAGTTGCGTTAACAGTTTATCGTTTAGACGATTAAAGTAAAAACCAAATCGCATTTTTTTGCAATTATTTGACTATCTATATCAATTCTTTTCGAGGACACTATCCAAACCAAGTTGACTGATTTGACTTACATATTACGGGAAGCCATTTTTCCATAGTGGCCGCCTTTCATCCGGTACACGCGGTCGAGGTGCGTCGTGACAAACGTCGTATAGTTAAAGTATTAAATCCTAAATTTTCTACGTAGATTAACCGGATTTTGCACGAGCGTGTATGGTGTGAAATTAACTGTATTCGTGCGAAAAAATGGCGCGATACGGGCAAAGACCTGAGAATGCTCTAAAAAGAGCGAATGGTACGTATACTAGCTCGTAACAAGATGTGACATGGCCGATGGCTATTTAATCTAGAATGAAAAACTTCTTTCGCCCTGTATGCACCTATTTTTGATGATCTACAATGTCTCGCCCGACCCCCTGCATCTGCATCGTTGATTGATCGTGAACGACGTTCCTACTTGTTGTATAACGTTCAAGTCGCCTATAGTCACGCCTGTCTAAATTTTTAAAATATTAATTTTCCCTAACCATATGCATCCCCAATAATGATTTCATGTTCAATTGATGCTCAAGAAAATATTGTACTATACATAATTGTTGCAAATTATATGTAAACCTTACCCTTGCTACGTGCGACGTACGTTACGAGGATAAAAAAAGTACATATTTCTTTATGTTTAATAAAGTAGCCTGTAAACATAAAATTTCGTTGCCTTATTTTTTTTCTTTTTTCGTTGAACCTATCTATTTTTGAACATTTTGATCTATTACTAACATTGAATTGACTTTGACAGTACAAGTATCTATTATATTTATTGTGTTACGTAAACTCTGTGTACTATTTTGTAATGCAACTTGGACATTATGATTTAATATATATATATAGTAGATTAAACCATTATAGATCAAAATCATTATTTGGATTTATTTTACAAAATGTTCATGTTTTTTTTTTTCAACAGAATTCATCGAAGTAGGGAAACCATCTCGGGCATTAGATACTTTGCAAGAAGTCTTCCGGAATAAAAAATGGACATACAACTGGTCAGAATCTGTATTGGAACCTATAATGTTCAAATACCTAGATCTCTGTGTAGAACTAAAAAAGTCACACATAGCAAAGGAGGGCCTGTTCCAGTATCGAAATATGTTCCAGTCTGTAAATGTTGGAAGTTTAGAGAATGTGATACGTGGATATTTACGTATGGCAGAAGAAAAGACAAATCAAGCAAGAAAGCAGAGTCAGCAAGCTGTTATAGACATAGACGATCTGGATAACTTGGCTACTCCTGAAAGTATCTTGTTATCAGCGGTCAGCGGCGAAGACGCACAAGACAGAAGCGATCGTACTATTCTAACACCTTGGGTGAAATTTTTATGGGAATCTTATTGTCAGTGTTTAGAACTGCTGAGAACCAATGCCCATGTAGAAACATTATACCATGATATCGCTCGCATGGCCTTCCAATTTTGTCTTGAATATAATCGTAAGACTGAATTTCGTAAGCTGTGCGAAAAGTTGCGAAAACATTTAGAAGAAATTTGTAAATTACCAGCCCTTGTTTCGAACGTTTCCATGAACAGAGCTGAAACGCAACAACTGAACTTGGAAACGCGATTGAATCAACTCGATTCAGCGATTCAAATGGAGCTGTGGCAAGAAGCTTTCAAGTCCTCCGAAGATGTCCACGGTATGATGAATTTATCGAAGAAGCTCCCGGTACCAAAAACCATGGCTAATTATTATCAGAAATTAGCTATGGTTTTCTGGAAAGCAGGAAACTACCTTTTCCATGCTGCCGCGTTGTTTAAATTGCTGCAGCTATCCCGTGAAATGAAAAAGAACATGTCTTTGGAGGAACAACAAAGAATGGCCAATCGTGTGTTGTTGGCTACATTATCCATCCCACTGCCATCAGCTCATCCCGAATTCGATCGTTTCATCGAAACGGACAAGAGTCCGTTAGAAAAAGCTCAGAAACTCGCGACGCTTTTAGGACTCACTCAACCACCAACCAGAGTTTCTCTCCTTAAAGACATCGTTCGATTGAATATCGTCAATCTAGCCTCTCCGCAATTACAAGAATTATATTCCTGGTTGGAAGTTGAATTCCATCCTCTGGAACTGTGCAACCGAGTAGATTCTGTTATCCAGACGCTCCAGGCGGACGAGAACAGCCCTTTGGCTCAGTATGTTCCAGCTTTGCAAGACGTGACGCTAGTACGTTTGGTTCACCAAATATCCCAAGTATATCAAACCATACAGTTCGCTAGGCTGTTGGAGCTTGCTAAATTTACGACAGACTTTCACCTGGAGCGTCTGTTGGTAGACTGTGTGCGTTACAACGATATGCAAATAAGGATTAACCACGGTAAGAAGTGCGTGCACTTTGGAGTTGATCTCTCCGAGGCCCAAAGGGAGGATCATCCCGATGGTCCTGTATTGCAAGCAATGCCTTCCGAACAAATTCGTTGCCAGCTTGTAAACATGGCCACTGTACTCCATCGCGCGATCAATATTATCAATCCGAATAAGAAGAAAACGGAACGTGAGAAATTGCGTACCGCCATGGTCACACATTACCACGAAACGAAGCTGAAGGAACATCAAAGGATTCTAGGAAGGCACAAGATCATAGAAGAAAGAAAGGAGTACATCGAGCACATCAACACGGTACGCGAGGAAGAGGAGATGAGAAGACAGGAGGAATTACAGAGGCAGCAAATGTTGGCCGAGCAGAAGAGGCTCGAACAAGAAAGGGAGGAACGCGAGAGGAAACGGCAGCAGAGCGAGATCCAACAGATCAAGGATCGTCATCTGAAGGAGAAGATGCAGCAGATTTCTCAAACTAGTCACGGTCAGAAGGTGTTGAAGAAGTTAGACGAGGATGAGATCAAGAAATTAGACGCTGAACAGATAGCGGCTAGGGAGGCCGAAGAGTTGCAGAAGGAACGCAGAGAGATGCAACAGAAACTGAAGTCGCAGGAGAAGAAGATAGATTATTTAGAACGTGCCAAGCGTTTAGAAGAGATACCATTGTTGGAGAAAGCGGTCGAGGAGAAGATGGAACTTGCGAAGCAACGTTGGGAACAACAAGAGGCTGAACGAATCGCTCTCGCCATCGAGGAGAGACAGCAGGCTGTCGCGACTCGCGAACGCATGGCGAGAATGAAGGAGGATCACGATAGTTTCCTAGCGAAGATTCTGGCCGAACGTAAGAGTATTTATTTAGAGAAGCTGAAGGAGTTTGAGAAAGTTCTGAACGAAGAGAGAGCCGGTAGATTGTTGAAACGTAAAATGGAACGTAAGGCTGAGCGTAAAGCGAAATGGGAGAAGGAACGCGCCGAAGCCATCGAAAGAAGACGTCAGGAGGAGGCACGAATCAAGCAGGAAGAAGAGAAACGACGAATGGAAGAAGAGAGGGCCAAGAGAGAAGAAGAGGAGAGATTAAAGCGCGCTGAAGAAGAAGCAAAGGAAGCTGAACGTTTGGCTAAGATCGAGAGACAGGCGGAGATCACTAGAGCCAGGGAAGCTGAGATCGAACGAAAACTGGAGGAGGAAAGACAAAGGGAGAAAGAAATGTCAGATACCTGGAGACGTGGGGCGGAGCAACGGACACATCGTGTCGTCCAAGATAAACCAAGTACTTATTCTTACATCATTTTGTTACCAGCTGTAATTTATGTAGTAATATATTTATTTTTATTTCAATTACAGTGGAGATGTCTTGGCGTCGACCTATTGACATAAAAGACGACGGTGTCAAAGATGATTCTTCGCGTTGGAAGAGACGCGAGACTGCGGATAAATGGCGAAAAGACGAGGAAAAACCGAAAAAGGAAACCGGTGATAGGTGGAGGAAAGATGATTTTGATAAGGACGACACGAGAGAGAGAGACCGAATAGATAAAGATCGTGGAATGGACGGACGTTCGGTGAATGTACATACGACATGATGATAAAGAAATAACATTTTTCATATTAACCATAAATAAAATATATATATATATATATTTGTTTGTACACAGATGCGCGATTCTCTACGCGATCCAGTGTCGGATAGTTCTCGTGGTGGTCGCGGCAGGCTGCCCGAACGTCGAACTCATCGTCGCGAGGACACGGTGCGTAACACCGGTGGTCAAAATTGGCGCGACAAAGTCGACACGATACAAAATTCTCCTCGAGACCCGCCGAAGCGGGACGAGAAGTAAGCGAGCCTTTAAAATTACTCTTCGCTAATTTTATATCACTTCATTTTTTTTTTACTAATTTTGTTACCTTGTAGGCGAGAGGAACCGAAAGAAGATAGGCTTCCACCGAAACACGAAGAAAGAAGACGACCTCCAGAGGATGATGGGTGGTCACAGGTGAGCCGGCGTTAACAATAGGACTGGAAAGTTACCCATAGAGGCAACGTTTATTATTCTTTGAGAACTGTGCATAAATATGCAGTTAGACTTTTGCCTGAAACTATCGATGGGCCCAACTCTACTGTTTTGTGCACCGTTTCATTTTTCTCTGATATACTCGAATAACAAGTAAAGGATAAAGCACAAAGGTGATGGTGGGTCGTAGCCACTTTACACCCGCATTACAAAAGAATTAAACGAAAAATAAAGACAGGATTGAGTTTTTATGATTTTTCTAAGGCATTCAACAATTTTCTAAATCTCTCACGCTGCGTTACGTATGTTGAAGTTGTAAATAAAAAATAAAACAATAACCGCTCTGACAGTAAATGTATGTACGAATCAATTGTATCTGAAATGAATATGAAATATGAATCAATGTACACAGAGCAGAAGGGATGGCGAACAAGTACGAGTGTCAACCAGCTGAATTGGCTAGATAATCTAATGGCAGAAGGTTAATGGTCTCAAAACGTAAATAAAGTCTCTTGTATCCTAATTCTTATGTAAAAATTTTTTTTTTTTTTTCAAAACCGAAATATGCTGTAAGACACACCTTTCCCTATGGAACGAACAAAGAAGAACCATTGTTTTACGATGAAAGATCAATAATTCTTCCACACGTACACGTACACACTCGATGCAACGATTTTAATTTTTATATCAGTTTTGGGACGATCGTAACAACCGACCTCATTATCATGATATAAACGAAGATCTATGCATCTTATCCGTATTATCTTTTTAATTGTTTTATTACATTTATGATATAGTTCGTAATTAAAATACTACATAATAAATAAATCACTACAGAGTATCAAACTCCGTTTCTATTTACATCCTACGAAACTCAAACGAAACATTTGCAAGGCCACCAAATCGACTGACTTACTATCCTCTGAACGAATGAAAACACAGCGTACACAAAGTATACGCTAACACATACCAACATTCCTCTAACGTTAATCTAATGATTAATAAACGCGCCTGGAAATGACTATCTAAAAAAGACACGCGGAGAAAATAGCGATAGAAAATGTTAGAACCATAAAGAAAGATTCGGCGACGAATAAATACTATCACTTCGATAGAGACAAGTAATAAATCGTGTTACAGATACCTGTAATTAAATATTAGATTCATTATCGAAAAATATAGTGTAAACGTATTCAGTTCTCAGTTCTTTCATAACTTTACACTTTTCTTTTTTCACCGGGTTTCACGCGTTAAGTGCAATTAAATCTTACAAACCTCCAACTTATTCGTATAAATCTGCAGAACTCGAAGAGTATTTAACGCTGGTCCGTTCATAAACAGAAATGCCAACACGTAGGAACTTCACAGAACACACCGGTTGAACGAGGGAAATGTACTTTGCTTTCCTCGTTCGATGGTCTTCTTCCATTGTCGCGCAAACATCTCGCAGCGCTGTTTCATTTCTGTAATGGATCCGTTCTTTTCTTTGAACGTTCGTCCCAACAGCGATGGGATTCAATACAGCATTATTGCCGCGGCTGTCTTTTCCTCTAGCGCCGGGATTGTCTCGAGACGTTCGATCTTGTCCCGTCCCGAGCCCCAGCCGACTAATGCTATGCTGATTAAATGTACCACACCAGCGCAAACGACCAGCCTGGAAATTAAAGAAAAATCTTGTTCTTGCCAGAGGTGATCATAGACCCATTCGTTGAAATTTCGCATTAGTCAACAACTCTGCTCGATAACAAAACTTTACGGAGAATCGAAAAAAAGAGAAGACCGTCCACGATATTGGAAGAAAGATTTCAGGAAACGACGAATCATCGGTGGAGTTTGTCTCAGTTTTCATACTTTCAATGGATGGTCGGACAATCGAGCAGAGAGACAACAGACGCTCTCATCCCTCTTACCAAAATGAATAACCCAACTCAGCTGAGCCTTCGCTGGTCCACATATTGTCGATGTCCTCCTTTAGTAGAACGTTGAAGTACAGCTTCGTGTAATATTGCGCCAACCATGTGCTCGTACTTGCCAGGCACATTAGCACTGAAACAACAAACGCTCGTGTTTAAAATTAAAAAAAACTCTCTTCTACGATTGCTTTTCTCTATCGCGACTAGATTCTTTCGCCAACTCACGCGTTAGAACGTTTACGAAGTATACTCCTGGATCCGAGAGGATTTTCGATCTCGGCGAGGTGGCCGTGTTCAAAACAGCCAGGAGAGCAGCTAAGCCCGCGGTGACAAGAGCCGCCGAAGTTGTCGTTAACGTGCTAATCCAAAGTCCCCAGGACATCACCGTAGGATCTTGTTTGATCATCTGAGGTACTGTAACGAAGCACAGAAATTTCCTAAGGAACTTGATATTACTTCCGTTTCAACTTCGACGCGACACGAACGTTCGAAAAGTTTCCCTACGAGTTACAAATTTACAAATCGCAGCGCTTGCTGTTTATCATTTCAAAGGTAACTGTAAATGACATTTAACGTTGAGCCGGAGAAGAAAAAAGAAAAGAAAAGAAAAAAATTTCATCGGTTCGAAGCGAAGGTTCTCCGAGCGAATCGAATCGCAGATTGGCGTGCAAACAGAAGTTATCGTAGCGAGCGATGAATAATTAAGCGCGCTGTAAATACTCTTACTTTGGCTAGTTCAAGTTGCATCGCATCGCAAATAACGGACTATTTAATTAGCCCGAGACGAGGCAAGTTAACAGGTTGCGTCCACGAACGGGTCGTCAGAGGAATTCGACCAAGAGGAGATTTTAATTACAAGAAATAGATATTCCGGCGTGGAAACTTGAATATTCCATTTGCATTTCGTTTATCGAAAGAAGAAGAGAACTGTTGGGAACAGGAAAACACGATACGTGACTTCGAGGGAAGAGGGTTTTTAATATTCTCCGTGGTCAGCATCGTCGTAGGTAGCCGATGATACGAGTTAACCGGTGTGCACGTGAAAGTCGACCACGAGGCAGGGTTCTCGATTTTTGCACGCTCGGAAACCAGTTTCTGTTCCTATTGTTACGATCACCGGGTTCGCTGGTTACTCTCGCAGACGGAATATTTCCCTCGGGTCGTTTTTCTTCGGATTCAACGCGAGGGAAACGCGTGGGAGTCGCGTAAAGCGTCGTCAAACAGCTCGATGAAATCGCGATTAGAAATTAGAAGGAATCTTAAGGTATATCCGTGTACGCCACGCGATTCTTCGTACGAGCGTTGGATAATCGCGGAAGCTCGCTCTTAACGGTGTGAAATTTTATGAAGCTTGTAAGATTAATGATAGATGACGTATAATTTATTATTAGGGTCCTCGGTGAAATTAGGAACGATTCTAAACACAATCAAAGATTCCTAGGGCTATTAGAAAGCTATAAATTCTAGTCACACGAGTGTTCACCTATGTCACCTTCGAGGAAAACACAAGTCGCGTGCGCGTACGCGATTAATTAGTTTGTTGATCGTCGGTGAACGATGCCGGGAGAAAGGCAGGTAATTAATAAACGATTACGCCGATCCTATTGCGACATGCATACCGATCGAACACGGTCAGAATACTATTTGCTGGCGCAGCAAATCGCGTTGGGGATAAAAATGCGAGGCCGTAACTGACCCCGCGTTGTACGTCGTGTGTGCACGCGACTGGCGACTAGGAACGTGATCGAGCTGGGATATTAGTCCCTTAGGGACTATTGGCCTGCTTCGATGAAAGAGAAACCTTCCTCGTGACGCGTGTCAACGATCCCATTGTTCTTATCGAGAGACGTATACCTGTACTTGGCGCACCGTTTCGATACGCTCGTCGAGCCGCTGTTTTCGCACGCAGATACGCGATCTGTCTGTAAAGTTAACGGGGATTCTTTGTGCTCGAACACTGCCCAGACATTTGCATTTAAACAGTTCAGCAAGAGGATGGCGACCTCTCTTCTTGGTCAAGAATAAAATAAATAATATCAAAGGAGCTAGCGACTTGTCCGGGCAAATGAAAGACAAACTTTCATTTACCTTTGCCTCTTTCTGAAGTTCTTTTCATCAAATATTTAATTCATTATTTACTTCATTAATAAGGAAAATTTCTTTAACGTAGTTGCTGAAAGATCGATGCAACTCATTCGCTGTGAAAATTTCAAACACCATTCCGATACCCGACACCTTGCTGCCGGCTGAATGAAACTACCTAGCCGCAAGATGGCCTGATTATTATCCTGATACATTCTCCCCGTGTTCATAGCGTGTTCGATCCGTTCGTTACGTCTCTGAATGGATCTAGAGCGGAACAGGAAACTTCTTTTCTTTCAAGTTTTTTCGCCAAACTTCGGGATCCAAGCGAAACACGAACAGAAGGAAAGCAGATGCGAAAAGCCGAGGCGGGAGGATGGAAAATGTTACCGAAGTCTAAGTGTCTGGTGCGAAAATATGACGAAGCGTTTTCTGGAAGCTTTCCAAATGAAATTTCAACGATTTCTATGGTACAATTAATTTCTTTCCCGATTTTACAACCTAGCCTTCTCGAAGAATTTTCCCCCGCGACTTTCGTCGCAACATGCAAACGATCGATGGAGAGAACGCGGGAATCGTAACCTCGTTAGTTCGATTTCGTGACTAATAACAGAAAGAGAGCGTCTAGCGCGCAGTAAAACGAAACGGAGCTGATCGAACGATTATCAAATGCTGGATTTATGGCAAACGTGCTCGCGACTCTCCTAGTTCACCATTTACAGCGGGGATCGCGTGCAGATACAGTTATGCCGAATGAGATTCTCGGGCTTTGGCCAACTATCCGACAAAATTTATGGCCCACAGTATCGCACTGGCTACCCAGAGAATCCTCCTCGTCTGTTTCTCCGCGACGATAACTGGTCGACTGATATTAACCGAGGATTTCGCTTCACTCCACCCCTTTCGAGCTTTAAAATATCCGCGCTCCTTCTGTCGAACGATTCGCGGGTAGACGCGTTTAAAAGCGCGTGAAAAACGATATTCAAGTACAAAAGCAATCGCGGATCGGATTTGTTTGAAGATCAGAACTCGTTGGAAACTCGAAGTAGCGGCTCTTCGGGGCAGATTGAATATCTTAGCAGACCGGTATTCATGGTCAACGTACGCGAATAAATACGTGGTCAGTGTGTTAACGCGTAAACTTCACGGTAAAGTAAATTCGATGAACAGCACCTGTGTTGTTCAGCTTTTTACGATTAGCGATGACACGGTGCTGGTTAGCAGCCCGCATTCGGGACGCAAAGTCCTGATGCGATCGCGACGTCGATAAATTTCATTTATAAAAAAGAAATAAACTTACCGGAGATGTGGTAGGTCCTCCAGCCGTAGCCTACGTTCAATTCCTTCTTCCCCTGAAGAAGACCAAAGTGAACCCGTCCGGAGCTCACCTGAGGGTTCAGCGTTCTCAGTGGTCGCGCCTCGACCCAGTGTTGGGTTACAAGGGCGGCGCAAACCAACCCTCCGCCGAGCAACGATAGGAAGAAAGTGGCGAAGATGGTACCTCTTCGAAACATCGACGTCATCCTCGGGTCACGAGGCAAGCCAGCCTTCGGATAGTTCGAGATCACTGGACAAGAGAAAGGTTGAAAGAAATGAACGAATGGCGAGAGTCGTACCGGATATGCAGCCCCGCATTCCTCTCGTTCCGCGAACAAGTTTGCCTGGTTTGTTTTTACGTGGCGACAAAGTTCCAGAGTAACGATACGAAAGGAGAAAGCTCCGAGAAGATATTCTTTAATTCATCGGGAATTGGTACACAAATGATCGTTGCATCGGATACTTTAATCCCGAGAAAGCTGATAGGAGATGATCTCAAGTTCGCGGAATTCGATACGAACGTCGTTGGATACAAGGAACTCGATATGGATGGCCTAACGGCTCTTATTGTTCAAGTTCTACCGGCAAGGAAATTCTCGATATCAATGGAATCTATGAGAATCTATTGATATCGCGATACCTTCGGAATGCCTTCGACCTATCGCATCAGAATCCGAATCTTCCTGGAACTTTTGATGCCCTTCGGAACCTCCGAGGTACCTTAAGGTCCGTTACCTTGAAACTTCTGATCCGTGGAAAGCTTCCGGAACGTCTGATATCTGGCTGAAGTTTCGACTTCCATCGGAGCATCCGACGTCTTCGAAAACTTAGCAACTACGAAACCTTTCGACACCATTGCAACCTCGAAACCTCCTTAGGCGCTAAACTCATGGAATTCCCGAAATTTTCAATATCCTCGATCTTCCTGAAACTTCTGACGTATCTCTGAACTCACGACCAATAAGAATTTCACTTTCGAACACCGAAGAAAGAATAACTCGCGCGAAAATTTCACCTTTCTTCTGGATCTTGTATCAAACGATTCGTTTTCTTTTGCATAAAAATACAAAGACTGTTTGTGAAGCGTATCTTTCGTATAAATAAGAGATACTTGTCAACGAAATAACACCTTATATTTGGAGAATGTTCCTTTCTCTCGAAGCGGTTTCTCTTTCCAACCAACGAACGCTTCCATGGACGGGAAGAACGAGGGACGCTCCGGTGTGTGCATCGGTTAGTTTACACGACAGAAACTATTTAAATTATGCCACGGTAAACTATGCCACTTTCGCAACAATTATCCGGTCTGCTAGAAAAATCTCTGCCTGTGAAAGCGTCTCAGCATGGAAAACCGAACGTTTCCACCAACTATTTCATCTCGATGATGTTCTTCGTAAAAGAAAACTCTCAGTCTTCTGTCATTCCCTTAATCAACGACTTAAAATCCTCCTACGACATCTAAACCAATCAAACGATCTACCAAGAGTACAATTCAGACAGCTTATAGTATCCCTCGTTAAACGAGCAAACGGCCAGAGCGAACGACCCTCTAATTATTTCCAGCATTTTCGTCGAAAGCAACCGTTCGCCGGCTTTCTACCATTGTCTCTCAACTCGGACGTTTCGCGTTGACAAATAACGCACAGCGATAGATGAAATTCGAAGAAAAGCAATGCTTCGATTAACAAACCGATAAGGCAAAGTTTCGATCCACTCGGTCAGTTGCTTCGACAGGCAACAACCGCAGGGTGTAAATTCGACTTTAATGCTGAAGAAGCTTCCTCACTCTTAAACAGACTGGCTAATCACCGCCCGGAGCCTGTGTCCACCGCTTTGTGCTACCACGAAACTTGCTGTGCAGACCAAAACTTCGGGCTAACGTTGAAAACTTTGCGCCAGATACAGTCCGGTGGAAAGGTTAACGCGTGGCTGTTCGAAGAAAGCATAGGGAAAATTTGTTCGTTAGTCAAATATTAAGAATTATTTACGTACCTTGCCCTTGGTTCTCGACGAAATGCACCTGGTTCAAACTCCTCGAGAACTCGCCCCGCTTCACCTTCTCCGAGAAATCGTGGTTGGCGAGCCTCTTGGAGAATTTCACGCGACAGTTGCTGTTGCGAGGCTGTTTGCCGGGCCTCGACAGTGACGACGGTCTCGGCCTCTTGGCGAACGTATACGGGATGGTATACGGTTGGGCTACGTAAAAGTAAATCGGCCGATAGTCTTCATGGAGATGAGGCTGCTGGGCGAAGCCGCCGTTCGTCGGGTAACCACTGTACACACTCGGTGCCCCGTTGCTGTACGCGTACGAGCCCGTGTAGTGTACCCCGTACTGGTTCGCCGTGTTTCGTGAATTCCTTTCCACCGTTTTGAAGAAAAAGGGGGATCCCTTGCGCGCGATCCTCTCGTCTTTCGATCCAAGTTGCACGATCAGCCTGGCAATTTGCCGTTTACCTCTTCTTCTTCTCGATCTAATCTTTTCCCTTACGTTTCAATTAGACACTCGAGGATAAGAATGGAAGTCTCTCGTTTGTCGATCTTATCTAACCAGTGTTGCAACCGATTTCCCTGCGAGTTTTCTATTAAACTTGAGCTCTTCGATCCGTATTAGTCGAGGAACCGATCGAACGCAACGAGCTATTGTTCGTCCCGATTTCCTTTCACCTTTTTATCAACGGTGTAAAGAGAACGAATCACAGATTTGATAGTCGGAAGATTATAAACCGGAACTGACCTGGTCAAGCAAACAACGGGACAAAACCATTTTCCTGCTGCCGTTCAACGAGATTTCTTTCCCCTTTGTCGACGATTCTTTATCAAACAGTCGTGATTCAGCGGCGCAATTGAATTTTTGCACCCGACTATCTCTGTTCGAGCGGAAGATTGTTTTCCCCGTGAACTTCAGCCGGTTACTTTCGACGAGGAAATCGTCCTCTTCTCGTTCCCTTTTATTTTCCTCCCTCTCTCTCTCCCTGCTGCTTAATTATCAATTAAGCGCGCTGGCATAGGTGTTTGAAAGTTTTCAGCTCGACTACCGGACACGCTTCGAAACGCTTTATTTGCATGCGACAGCGAAATTCACGAGGTTCAGTTTCCTCGTCGCGCGTGTTACCTTCTCCCTGCTTTAAATGATAAAGGGAGAAATCCTTTGAAACTTACAGGTTTCCAGTGTTTTTCATGAATATTCTCCCCGCTACTTCCGTCTCATCCTCGAAAGGTCCACCCTTCTTGATTCTCTCTTCTCTTTTTCTTTCTTTCCCGACGACCACTTAGGCGAACCGAGCGGTCGGTTGATTTTTCCACGAGGTTAGTTAAAAATCTCAAGAAAAAAAAAAAGGAAAGAAAGAAAGAGAAACAGCTACCCGGGTTGCTCGTTCGAATGAAAATTTTAACGTTACCGTCGGAGATTCCAGGTGATAGTAATCGCGTTAATTGAACCACGTTCGTTCCTTTATTCGTTCGAGGTGAATCGTAAAATGGAGCGAAGGGGATCTTAAAGGACACGTGTCCTTCTGTTAATCCTGTATCGCCGTTGAGCTGCGGGTAAACGAGAATAAGTGCAGCGCTGGCAGGAGAAATGGAAGTGGATAGAGGACGGCTCAGGATCGTCGTATCTTCGATTTGTAATAAACTGCAGAATCTGTGGCGAACGATCGGAACGCGTACGCGTTTGAAATTGTGTCAAGCCATGTATCGTATTTAACTCCCTCTCTCACCGGAAGTTATTGTGCCGAGCGTCGCACGATTTTGTATCTACGATGCTTCGGGATTCCTCTCGAGTACCGCTCGATGTCCAGGTTCCTTGGAAGCCGTGTTGCAGCGTACTCTTTTCTTCCAGCCACACCGTTTCGCGTTGTGTCAACTGTAAACAATGCAGTCCACGTAAGTCGTTCGTTTCGAAATGATACATCCACAGGGTGGTCCGTTTCTCTTATACCTGTCCAGGAGATTTAAAAAATTAAACACTTCATTTTCATTTAAAAAAAAAAGACAAAGGCTATTATGCGATCTTGAAGCCGGTTCCATTTGGACGGCGTTTGAAATATTTGTTGAAGGATGAATAATTGCCTGGACAGATTAAAATGGGACACCCTGTATATAACGTCGCATAGAACAAAGTCGGACAAAAGATTTCACGTGGAGAGAAAAGAGATTTTCAAGAAATGGCTCGACGTCTCGCATTTAAAATTCCTCATCCAGAAGTCACGGTAAAACTAAATTGAAACTCTGGAATTGAGATATCAGAGAAAAGATACAAGACTAAATAAATGATACATTAACGATTAATCAATTTTCAGCGATTTGACGGCGTGTTATTCGATCGCGTTTTTCCATCGCCAGTTATTTTTCAATGTTTACAAAATGAGTTTACGTTGGTATTCATGAATAACAGCGTCGAGTAGGATTCTTGACGTAACTGGAACAGCAATTGCGCGAACGTAATATATTGCATTCACACGTCCGCGTGTTACGCGGCGCTTCACTTTTTACAAATTGTTTAAGTGTTACTCCGTTACCGTCCATTTCTGTTCCGGCGCGGGGGGGCGGGGGAATTATGCCAACCGGAAGTAACTCGAACTAATTTGCGAGCGGGTCGCGGGCGCGCGCAACCGAAAGGAAAAAAAGAAAAAAGAGAAACGCGTCCGTTCGGTGTGTCACAAAATGGTAGAAAATACCGGCAACGAATTTCTGCACGGGTAATCCGTAATAAAGTGTACGGAACGTGCATCCCTCGGTTGCAAATGAGAACGAGTTTTCAGTCCCGACTGGTCTCCGCCATCGTATCGCGTTGATTTTCGTAATCGAAACCTTGAAGCGAAATCGCTGACATTAATACCAGTTCTGTCGATGAAAAACGATCGCAACAGCTGCCCCGATTAATCTCGAACGGGGCAATAAGTTGTGATTAAGAATAAACACATGCTCGACTAAACAGTTTCCTTTTCCTCCGGCTGCGCGTAATTATTATGTAACCATTATCCCATCCTTCGACTTGTACGTCCTCGCGTGAACTTAATTCAATTTTCTTCACGGATACTGGCCATTCGCGCGAGTAGGCAAGGGTCAGGGTTGTTCCTCTACATCAGAATCCTGATTAATCTTCGAGAACGATTAAGATTGATCGGGATTTTTAGCAGACGCCATCATTGAAAGGACGTTCAGCGTTAATCGCCACTCTTGATTTCTGTCACGAGCAGAGATACGAAAGAACCGAGGCTACAAAGAGATCGCGGCCGGTGAAGACCGGGGAGACTAGAGAGATATGAGAAAAAGATAAGAGATGTAGCGACGAAAAAAAAAAAAAAAAAGAAAAGAAAAAAAGAAATGAAGGAAAGGAATGAAAGGTAGAGAGCTGACAGCAAAGGAGAGATGAGAGAACAAAGGGACGCGAACGAGACAGAGAAGCAGAAATTGGCAAAATGTAAGAGGTAGGAAAATACAAGAAGAGCGTGTATGTGTATGTGTGTGTGTGTGGAGAAGCGGGATGATGAGGTCGACTGAATGCCGTTAGACCGTATCACGATGCAGCTACATAGCTTCGTGTGAAACATCATCGCTCGGTAGGAAAAAAAGATGAAGCAAGCGAAAGGCATAAAGGTACGAGACAAGAGAGATGATTTGACAAAGAGCCACCGACGATCTGTATCCGTCTGCTCATGAAATGGAACGCGTCACTGTGTAATTCTATTGTGGCTCCGGCTAACTGCCCTCTATCGACACACTGGCTTCGTCCCTTTTTCTCCGTAGAAAAAGAGAACAGAAAACGAGGATAATCGAGAGGATCACGAAAAACATTTTCATTCTAGTTTCTCCAGTTCCGTCGCTTCGTTTCTAAGACATTGAAAAATGGAGGAGTTTAAAAAAGAGTCGCTGAGAGACATCTTGTGTTTATAGACAAAATAATTAGAGCAAAGGAGAAAGTGTAGAGATTACGTTTCGAAAGAGATGCTATCTCGAAACATTCTTTACAACAAAATTTCCAACGTAATCATACTAGTTGTGAACATTAATTACCGTACCGCGGGTAGAAATCGTAAGATGATATATCGTCGAGTATAATTTGCATACGAGTGGATATATGAGCTGAAAATTTGAAGGAGATCATTTTTCTTTCTAACGGGCAATTTCTCCTTTCTCCTTGTGCATCAACACTGGACCAAGATAGGTATCTCTGGTACGACCATCCCTGAAGGTAATGCGATTCGATCTCGAGGGCGATATCTGGACATTTTTTCTCTACAACGGATTGACTCGTTGTTACAACCGGTTCGGTTCGCAGATTTTTCTTTCCAACTGACGCAACTCTTTCGACATTACACCCGGCCGCTAGCTTCGAGGCATCGGACAAAGATGCATTGCGGTGGTCCACCATGGCCTGTGAAACTAGGACACGTAACCGTCTCCCACCACCATCTTGTTAACCAGTCCCCTTCCAACGTTCATTCGACTCGCGTAACACATCTTCGAAGATGATAAAATTACGAGGATTGCTGATTCACGATAGCGAATTCATTCCCATCATCGATTTTCTCGTCTTCTTTGAAAAAAAAAAAAAAAAAATAAAACCATTTATGTTTAAACTGAACCGGTTCGGTTGGTCACACTGACTTAACGCGTGTGAAATCAGACAAGGATACTTTGACAAGGATACGCAGCCTACCTTATCTTCCAGCGATAAACCTCTGTTTTGTTCTTTCCTTTAAATATCACGGTGTAGATCGAAGCTACACGACAGGATTATAGATAAATTCGATTAAACCCCGTTCGAAACGATCATTTTCGATTCCATAGAATTAAAATGAATAATCGAACCGCGTTCCTGTTTTTCTTCGCGGTTGAATAAGAGGATCCGTTTGTCCGCGGACAACCATCTTGCAATGATAAAAAGACGAAACGAGAGTAGGGGAACGATGAGAGAAAGGTAGTTGGAGCATGTACGATATGTAATTTCCTTATGGTTCTTCTAGAAATAACTCCATTACGAAATCCTTCTCACGAGATACTTTTACGACACACGGAACATCTTCGATTCGAACGTGGATGAACTTTTCGCGCAAAAGTATCTGAATAAAATTGGCAGGATAGTAATTAGTAGGAAATTTCGATCGAGTTTCAAAGGGTTAAACGCAGTTAGTTTCATCACACATGAAACTGCACGACGTTTGAATCCGCGTTACGATGCAACAATGACCTCATGAATAATTTAACACGCGCCATTGTCTCATCGGTATGTACTAATAACATCACGTCAGTTGTAGCGTATCTGACACTGATTCACTTCGTGAATGCGTTTCTTCTTTATTTGCTGTCCAGTCATTCACGCCGGATTGTTTTGAAAAATTCTTAAACCCGGATGTACGCGATTTTTATCAATCTTGCGGTATCGACCATTTCTCTACGTTTTAAAAAGTTTCGCGTTATCCCGGGGATCGGAACGAGTTTGCACGTGATTATCAATCTTTCTACAAAGCGATAAAGGATAATGAAATTTATACAGAACCGAATAAGAGAAATAACATTAATCTCGCTAAAGCGAAAAACGTATTTCACTGTAGAATTAAACACGTGTTTAAAGAGTGCACCGTCCAATTAGTAATTCGGTGAACTTTCGTCCCCTTTCGAGAAATTAGATTCGAATTAAACTCGAATAATGTGTGGTAAAAAATGGTCTCGCTTTAGAAATGAAAAAAAAAGGGGGGAATATCTTCCGTGTCGCGACCGTAAACGTAACTTTTAGTTAATAAAAGCAAAGGATCTTCGAAAACGTGTCGTTAACCAAAGTTGGTAAAAAAGTATTATGAAAAGAGGAGAGGAAAGGTAAAAAAAAATATTTACCTGCATTGCTTTGGCATCGTTTGCCACCCGTTCCGCTTCTCTCCCACGTCGCAAAGGTCCCCTTATTACTCAATTCAAACTTGAACCAAGTGACCTTCAACATCCACCAACCAGGAAATGATTCTAGATACTTTCAGTCGTATTTCTAGCACAACACTCTTTTCCTCACCGTACGAGCACAATTTAAATGGTAACGATTTTCAAGTGACCGCGTCGGGACCGATCCACACCTTCTACAGCGTCTCTTGAACTGAATATCAGACTGAGGCCCTGACTCTTTATGCCCACCTGGCTCTGGCAGGTGTTGCAGGTGGCACCACCATTCAGCCACCTACTCAACCTCACCTTACCGGTCCCTTACAGCTTTGCGAACTGAAACCAGGGACCTTCGAATTTAATCAAATTAAAAAACTGTTTAAAACAATGAAAGGAGGAGATAATTTATTAATTTTCTTCAAAAATTTATTCACAAAATCATATGTACCATTAATTAGTAGTTGGCTAAGAATCGTTTTTCAGCCTCGCTACTTTTTACGAATATTAAGAACACCGGAGTTCCTCCGCGTACTATAAATCTGAAATTAAAAAAAAAATGATATCTTTAAATATAATATTCAATTCTTCTTTAACTTACCGTTCATCTTGCAATATTTTCTCGAGGGAATGATGGGCGTTCACCAGGTGTATAGAGCATTTATTTTTATTCTCAAAATAAACATTTATATTCTGAAGAGTATAACGCCGTTCCGTGTCCCATTCAGGTGGTTCATTAAATAGTTGTTCTAATTGTTCAATTAATCTGAATAAGCAAATATATTTTACATCAGATAATTGTTCATTTTCAGAGTAATGTAAAATCCTTTGTAGCAAAAAACATACAATGTGTCCTGATGGAAATTTTGTATGAAATCTGTTTGATGTGTTTCTGGATATAAAATCATTACAGGCCAAATTAGCTTATTTTCTGCATCCAGATGAACCCTACTCTGTGCTATCTGTGGTACTTGAGGCTCTAAATCTTTTAAATCAGGATTTTTTCTCCCCTCAATTAACTCCAAACTGATACCTTTACTTTTTATGATACTTAGTAACTCTTCTTCTTCTTTGTCTAATTTCTTTTCTAATCTTTCTTGTTTTCTTTTGTCTCTTTTCAAACGTTCCTATAAATATTTAAATGTTTCATTTCTTTTTTGAATAAATGTTTTCACATAGGTACTTTCTAAAAAATATATCTTACTCTAGCAGCTACTGCCTGTGATTTCAAATTTAAAATTTCTTTGTCAGTTGGAGACTGATCAAGTAATTGATCGCAAAGATCGATACATTGGTCATAGACTTTTATATGAAAACAACAAGTGGCAGCTCTGTTTAGAGCTTTTGTATAGTTTGGTTTTAATTTTAGAGCATGTTTACAATCATTGAGACTTGATCTGTAATGTATATTATGAGAATATAGGACCTATCAAAGTTTTATTAAACAATCCATGCTTCATTTCATACACATACCGATAATTCTTTAACATAAAATGTGCAGCAGCTCTATTGTTATAAAGCTGAGCCATTAAGTCGTTATCTTTGCATTTGGTTCTTATGCCTTCTGTGTAACTTAAAATAGCTAATCTATATTTTTTATATTTATAATTAAAGTTCCCATCCTCTTTATAATTATTAGCAAGTTCTAAAAAATGAATACAGATCTACAGCTAATGCTACATACATAAAGTTTACATCCAAAGTCCCAAAATTAGATGTAAAGACAAACGAAATGCAAACAGTAACAAATTAATTCAAACCCTCAGGTGTGTTCTCATTTGCTCCATATTTGAGTTGTTGTAAGCCTTCCATTAACGGAGAAAGCTCCTCTCCTGGTTCTGGAGCCTTTTTCATAAAGAAAGGATGCTTTTCCATCTCTTCTTCCCACCGATCTTCTGGCCATCCTTCTGTATAACTCTTTTTTTCTAAATTACTAATATATTCATCTAATTCTGCATCTAATTTTGAAGCAAGTGCCAGTCGTTCTTCGTCGGTCCAAGTTTTACTCTGCTTTCCATTTGCCTTCTCTTCCATGGTTAAAAATATGTGTAACGATATCAATAATACCAATTTGTTTTTTAAATTGAACTAATTTTGATGAAAAATAGATTGTTTTTACACACCCTAACCTTTAAAACTACACGTGACACAACGTATGTCATTTATAAGTTTCATAGAAAACGCCTTTATCGACGAAGAAAGCTTCTTATTTCAACGCTGTGATGGCGTCATTTGTATTTTTGAAAACATTTCAAAAATCATTAAATTTTATACTTATTTGTACAGTTTTTATATTACATCTTTCATATCCACGAATTATTTCATAAAAAAATAGAAATGAATAAAATATTAAAGAAAAGATTTAACAAAGTGTGTGGAAACCAAAAACTGTAATAATAATTGAAAAATTCGACAGGCTTTAAAAATGTATTAAATAAAAAAAGGACATTTGAGTATCTGGATTATTTAACCGTAATACGATCCGAAATGTTTCCTAAGTATAAATCTTTTTCTGTCAGACAAAAAATGAAAAATGATAATTACAAGATTTATTACCTAAATACGATGCTTAGTTTCGAATTGGTTGGTGAAAAGTAGAAAAAGCGAGGGGCGGATAATCCGACAATAAAATCTGTATTGAAAATTAGGGATGAGAAAAGCTAGAGTAGATACGTCGATCGGGAAGGGGTGGTTAAGGTTCGGACGTTTACGCAAACATTCGGGTTTTGGCCCCTTTGTGTTCGGGTAGGCAAGATGGCGCTCGGTGAAAGCTGGTATACGATTGGTCGATGAGACCGCACCGCGAATCTCCCGAGAACAGTCGCTTCCACGGCCTCGGAGCGGGCGAGTTGTTGGTCCCTTTGGAAAAAAGCAAAACACGCTCTCTCGTTGCGGAGACGAGTGTAATGGCCACCGTGGGCCTAGGATAGCAGTGGAGGAGGTTCGGATTCTTTGATCGAAACGCTGGCAATCGCAAAACGATTCACCAACCGGTTAACATCAGTGAATTTGATTCGCGTGTGTCGAACTGCCGCTCATTCCTCTCGATCGTGGCTTCTCTATATCCGGTGAAAGAGTGCGTGTACATCAAGTAGTGCATCAGTGTACTTAAATGTGTGCCAGCCATTGTCGAGGGTGCATCGTAGTGCCGGTCATCTAATCCGTTGACTACACTGGATAATATTGCTTGCTTCGTTTAGCCTATTGGATTCTACCCTTCTGACAATCCACGCAGCAACGGTGAGTAGAAACATACATATACATAGCTAAATGAAACCGTATCGCACGATGTCGACGACCGTACCCGTACGTCGAGTTAGGAAGTTCAACATTTGCTAATGCTTGCGTGTATACATCGTTGTGATTCGTTTAGTTCTTTATACTCCTCCTTTCCAAAAGGTAGTTGTCTATCGATGCTTTCCAGTCTACGACTAGACGCACCCTGGTCGTTTCTTATCGTACGTAGTCGGTTGTCATCGTTGTCGTTCGTCGGTTTTGACCGTAGAAAAATTTCTGCGCTACTTCGAATCGCGTCGGTTCGCTTCTACGTTACACGATCGTTCGCACATGTACGTTTAACCATCCCATGGGGGAAAAGTCCATTTATTGTCATATGCAAGTAGTAATGAGAGTATGCGCGTTGCGAAGCACGATCAATTTCGGAAGATCTACCACCACGCTGCAAAAGATGTCGCACCACCCTTTCCGTGCTGGTTTATTGTTGCTAAAATGTTTTCGAGCGTTTCCATTGAACGACACGAAAGGGTGTATCCCCGTGTATTTTCTCTATTTCTCGCGGCTGCCCTGCTGTTGGATTTTAAACGTTCAACCGCGCAAACTTGTTAAATGGCAAACGACAGTTTCTATGGAAACCTAAGCGTTCATTGATACCGTACATACATCTTGGTCGCTCTCGTTAGACGCGTATTAAGGTCAGCGTTGTTTTTTTTCCATTCTCGCATTTTCACTGTATGCGTATACGACGAGTTTACATATACATACCAGAGGATCGACAGAGCGATATCGGCTCATTACCCGTTCGGTTTCAATGAACGTCGTCCTTTCTGTACATCGTTGTTGTTGTTGTTGTTGTTGTTGTTGTTGTTACTCCATTAATTACCATGGATGGGCGTATTCTTTTGCAAACAAGCACACTCCGCGTAATCTCGTTTACCGGGGAGTATAAACGCGTCCTGCTACCTGTGAATTACCTGGTTCAATAAATGTTATTTATTGCAATGGTATGAATACGGTGAAATTATATTTATTGCATATCTTTTCCCACGGTATAAAACGAATGTACGTAAAATATATACCGTTCTAAACAGAGGATAACGGTAACATCATCGTGCTCGCTGTGATCTGATTCCTTACGTCCATCTATGTATACACGGTGTATTAATAATACAAATACACTTTAAATTATTAATATATGTTTTGACTGAAAATGGAGAACGCGTGTTTGCACGTGTCGTTGACGAAACTCGGTATTATATATCCCGTCCAACAGCTCGCGAATTTTTGATCGTCACCGGCTATCGATTTCGTTTCGCGACCAGCGAAAACAAATTTTTATCGTGAATGGATTTAATTAAATTCTGCAACGTTTTAATTTATCCTTTGAAAAATCGAGGGGTGTATTTAACCGGTCGCCGGTTTAATACACTCCTGGGCAGGGGATAAAAAATGGAACAGAATTATACGCGACGCGTGTATCCTTTTTTTTTTTTTAATTTTTATTTTCGTTCGAATAAATTACGTTTTCTGGGTCAGGATTGTCAGGCATTCTATTTCGTGCACTGTATCAAATATTAGTGATTTCGCAGCGCGCGTAAAATGAAACCGTCGAAAAATATAATTCCATTAGCAGTAAGGAATGAAAAATTGCAGGAGAGTGAGAGGGTGTTAAAAACAAATATTGAAAGAATTTTTAACCGCGAATATTAATATTGAAATTTAAACATTTAATATAAATCGATCTCGTTGAAATAGAGCATAGATTTACCGCGAAAGTATTTCATATTTGATTGTGTGTTTTATTGAAACCGCACGCTCTAGTTATTGACGAGCTTTTCACGAATGTCAAGAGTGAGTCCACACGTGTGTATACATACATAGAACGCAAGAATGAACTTCAACATTCGATTATCGAGTCCTCGAGGCTTTTCTTTCTCGTACATTCAAGCACCAATCCATTTTTTACGATAGATATTTATACCGCACTCAATATTTCACTATCTATTTTTAGATAGCATTCCCGCCACTGGCTGTTTATAAATGGTCTTATCGAAAGTTCAAAAGGTTAATCGTGATTCATTTTTTAAGACAGACTTGGTAAATTTTCATATTATTCCAGGACAATTCATTTAGATTTAGTGATTTGATAAAACGGTACTTGGAGGGAAATAATGGCCCCGTGAGAGTAGCTATCCGAATAAGCGTTGAAAATATTTTCTAGAAGCAACATAAACATTATTCAAAAGGTGGATAATGAAAAGACTAACGATTATCGATCAGTTTGCACAAAGTACCTTGTCGGAGCGACGGGATGGGCTCGTGATGACGCTTGGAACACATTCGACGATCCTCTCGTGAAATTCTTTTTGACGTTGATTGCGCGTATTCGTCGGCGCAAATCGTGTTCGACGTCGACTCGACTTCGTTTCTCTTCTTTCAACCGTTACACGTATTCGATGGAAGACTTGCTAAATTACACCGTGATTCATAAACGGAAAGCATCGTTGATACTAGTAATACATTCGTCGATACAGATTTCTATAGACGAGGATTAACGCGTAGGGAATTCGCTGTGTAAACAACAGGTGCGCGAACGGTATCGGAATTATTCTTTCTTCGAATCGTATATCCGAATAATGATATTAATGGACTGTTTGGTCGTCGAATCGTTATGGTGTCGTAAATGTCACGCGTGGTGATAAAAATTTCCAACGGCACGCATTATCCCTTCACCGGTTAAACATCAACTCTGAAAGAGTCTTTGGAAAGGAGTCGTCGAGCTGAGTTTACGTTTCCCGCCGTATATGTACATATAAACAGCTGATGCTGATATAGTTTGACGAATGCGAGTCGTATGGGTAAATGAATTCGTTATTCCGGGCATCGTAGCCCTGGAGGAGTAGGTGGTAGGGAGTCAGCATAAGCATCGTCGTTTCAACTCGTTGAAATCCAACGATGTTTAATGAGACGTCAAGAATTTGATTCGAGTTTCGGAGCCGGGTTTCATAGAGTAGACACAGACTGGCTCGGCACGGCGGTCTTTTATAAAAGGCTGCCTTTATATTTGACCGGTTGGAAATTCAGTGAGCATGTGGCAACGTTGGATAGCCCTGTGTGTTGTTTCTTCCTTGTCGGTCGAGCGAAGGGGCCCGGGGATTTCGTTGGTCCGGGCGCGCGTCTCTTTTTCCAAGCGGGGGCCCCCGTGCCTGTCTACCCGTACCAGAATGTTTCTTCTACCTTTGCCACGCCACCACCTTACACCCCATCCAACCGTACCATCTTTTATTTTATTATTCGACCCGACCTCGACGAGTTAGGCTGTTCCTTCGCCTCCGGTCGCTCCACCTCGTCCCCATCCGCTACACCTTTCTCTTCCAGCCGAAGCTTCTTCACGACTAACGAAGAAACTGGAATTTCTCGTTGCATGGATACACGGGAGAAGAGTATGCCTTTGCTCTTCTATCTCTTCGTCTCGTTACTCCGGACCCCGCAGACCCGGCGCTGATATCGGCTGCTCCCGGGCCCCCCGGGCCACGGCGTCGGGCAAAGCCGGTCATTAGCGCTTTCACGATCGCTTATTTTCATCGGGACCCGGCAATTTTTTCTTCATTTACTTCTCGTCAATTTCGAATACCCGACAAGCGATTTCTCCTTTTCCATTCGACGAAAAGTCACCCTCGGTCCTTAGGGGGTAATTAGCTGCTCCGTCTGCGATAAGACGGATCGCTATTTTCTATTTATGTTGGACGCGTTATCGATAGTCGAGCCAGAGACGGGCATATTAAAAGTTGACGAGGCTCGCGAGGAATCCAGGAAGAGGCGGCGAGGCAACGCAACGAGTAAGGGAATCGTATATACCCGGAACGGAGGGAAACTTTTCATAATGTAGGATGCTGGATCCGTTTAGAAATTTTTCAATCGTGCCCCCCCCCATGGTATCGTGAACTTTGCATTCCTAGCATCCTCCGCGGTTATTCCACGTAGCCAGATCCTATGGAATAATACTGGCTCGACTAACCCTTTGCGTTATCCTTATTTTTATCCCCGGTATTCGCTTTATTATTCCATGTTGCCATGGTATTTTGATATCGTATTATGGCTATTTTTTTTCTTTCTTTTCTCTTCCAACCTTTCAGCCGCGCATTCTCACGTATCGGCGCGTTATCAAGCGTGCAAGATAACGCGAGTAAATTTCTATTTGTTTTGGCGTGAATGTACCTCGATACATCTATTTACTATGAGATCATGGGAAAGCTCGCTTCGACTATTCTCTACGTTACGAAATCCGTCGCTTGATGCGCAATAAGTTAATGAAAAGGCTATGCTCGTTAGACAAGGCGCGAAATTAGGGAGATTGCAATTAAATCGTTAGCTCGGTAACGCAGAGGCACGCTTTTCCCGTCTTTGACACCGTGTGAAATTCAAGATTCTCAGCAGATACCTCGAATTCCTAGAATTTCTAATCAAATCTCCTGGCTGCGATTTAAATTCACTGATTTATATTTAATTTCAAAATTTTTCCCCCCACCGTTGTTCGGGGGTCAATCGCATTTTCATCGCGATTTATTCAGAAATCGTGCACGCACGACCAGTTTCCACCAACGCGATTGTACGTGACTCGCAAAGGCCTGGACCGTTGCCACGTTTTCGTTGGAAAGGAGCGCGCGATCGGTTAAATGTTAATTAACATTCTGACCTTTAACCGTGCGGCTGGTTGTCGAACTATGCGTGTGTACATCGGGATAATGGTCGATCGCGAACCGGTCAGCCGAGCGACCGCTAATATTTTAACGCATCTGTGCGTTGGTACGTGTATGTACGGCTCTCTACCTGTACTGCTGGTTTTCGCGTTTCGCCTTTGGATATCCTCTGGATTTTGCAGCGTGACGCTGTTCCAACGAAAGAGGAGACGCGAACAGCGTGGACGTAAAAAAATTCAACTGGCCAGAGGTGCAGAGGTCTGGAGCTATCGTTTCTCGATTCTCACGGAGGGCCCGGTATCG